AGAAAGGAGAGGGGGGGTGAGAGAAATTAGGAGGGGGGAAGAGAAATTAGGGGGGAGAGAAATTGAAATTAGAAGGGGGGGATAGAAATTGAAATTAGGAGGGAGGAAGAGATATTAGGAGGGGGAAAGAGAAATTAGGGGGGGAGAGAAATTTGGAGGGGGTGAGAAAGAGAAATTGGGAGGAGGAGAAGGAAATTGGAGCGGGAGGAGAGATTGACATTCATCACATACACACAATGCACCCCTTGCACACAGAAAAAACACACAATGCATTACACACACAGACACACATACACAAGCAATGCAACCGTTACACACAATGCATCCCTTACACACACAGAAACACACAAAGCATTCATTACACACACTCAATGCACCCCTTACACACATTCAATGCATCCCATACATACACAGAAACACACCTTGCAGCCCTTACACATACAAACACAATTTCACACAATGCATTCCTTACACACATATCAGGACATCCCCTACACACTCCACCCCCTGTGAACAAACTCATTGGTGGAACATGAAGGTGGACCCTGGGACCCAGACCTTGAGTTGTGTAAAGGACCCCCAAAAAATGGAGCTGCTTCCCGTTCTCCCAGAACATTGATTTTTGTGACCACAGTTACAAACCGCCTCCAGAGAGCCTGTTCTGCACCAGACCAGTGGAGCCAGACTGCAGCTAGAGCCCATCATCATCCTCATCCGGTTGTAAGTAGGCAATCTAGTATATTATTCGTGGCACTAAGCTCTAATTTACCTCACATTAAAGAAACACTATAGTCCCCAGAACCACTTCAGCTTAATGTAGTGGTTCTGGTGTTCAGTTCGTCCCCAGGCCTTTAATGTAAACACGGGCGGCACTGCAGCACTGGCGCTAGTTAACATGGCAAATCATATGGTGGGGCATTGTGATGTCACATGGGGGCGGCAAACTTTACTTTTGCCTAGGGCGGCAAAAAATCCTTGCACCGGCCCTGGCTGGAGGGGGCTGTGTGAGCTGTGGCCGCACAGTGTCCCATGGTAGTTAGGGTGCCGTGCGGCCAGTACAGCTCACACAAGCAAACAGCTGATAAACTGGCCGCACGGAGGAAATGTGTATGTGTGACTGTCTGCCTGTGACTGTATGTGACTGTAACTGAGTGTGTGACTGTCTGCCTGTAAATGTGTGTGTGGGGCTGCAGGGATTTTGTAGAAGGGGGCGGGGGTTTTGTATTGGGATACAAAAAAAAAAAAAAGAGAACCTTTAAAGCACAGGATCCGCCCCGGGTGCCAAATGCTCTAGGTACGCCCCTGGGGTTGCCATTTGCGGCCCCTCCAAGTACAGGCAGAGCACATGGCAGGGCAGCACGTGTGGGGGAGGATATCGCTGCGTTCTGTACCTGTCCCATGTACCATTAGACAATCTGGCAGGGCAGCATGTGTGGGAGCTTGGCACGACTGCTGCCCGCGCCGTACCTGCTAGGAAATCAGAAGGTTCTGTTCATTCCCGTGGAAAATGATTTAATTTGCTCTAATAAACTGGCTGCCTCAGCATTTGTCAGGCTGGGAGATGTGGTGATTTGCATAATTGTGCATTTTAA